GAGTATGTGTGTGTTTGTTGAAGGCAATGTGTGTGGGAGACAGCATGTGTGGGAAATTGTGTGTGCGCCTGAGTGTGTCAGCATGCTGTCTCTTTAAGCCAAGCAAACAGGAGCCTGAAAGCTTGTTCGGTACAGCAGCAACTGCAGCTCCCACTTCTGACCCAGAGGCAGCAGCCCAGACAGGCTCCTTGTCCCTCCCTCCTCCCCCAGCTCAGCAGAGACCAGGTACACCCCGACATAGGGTGACCAGACAGCAAATGTGAAAAATCGGGACAGCGGGTGGGGGGTAATAGGAGCCTATATAAGAAAAAGACCCAAAAATCGGGACTGTCCCTATAAAATCGGGACATCTGGTCACCCTACCCCGACATCACAGCAGATCCAGATGCAGACTCCCTGTCCACAAGCAGTGTGGCCAGCAGGCTCCATGGCGGGCGGGCGGAGGGGAGGGAGGGTCAGAAGCAGGGTGGCTGCAGAGGGCTGTGGAGCAGGGCGGAGGAGGGGCAGTATCTTTCCTCCTGCTGCAAACTTCACTTGAATGTGGTAAGAAACTGGAGGTGCCCCCCACCCTCCCTAAATGGCACCCCTTTTTCCTTGTCCTTTTCTGTTTATCCAGCCGCCCCTTCCTTTCCCCTGCCTGTAACGCAGGGAGTCCATAAGACTTAATGCCAGGAAAACAGCAGAAAAGTGAGATGCCGCATCAGATGGAGAATGCTCGAAAGGTTTGCTTATATGACCTGGTTTTGGCTGCAGGGGTGTTGTAGCCATGTAGGTCCCAGGATATTAGAGAGACAAGGTGGCTGAGGTAACATCTTTTATTGGACCAACTTCTGTTGGTGAGAGAGACAAGCTTTTGAGTTGACATAGAGCTCTTTTTGGAAAAGGTACTCAGATTGTCACAGCTAACTACAAGGTGGAAGGGGGGTAGCCATGTTAGTCTATATCCACAAAAACAATGGATTGAAGAAGTGGGTTTTTTACCCATGAAAGCTTATGCCCAAATAAATCTGTTAGTCTTTAAGGTGCCACTGGACTCCTCATTGTTAAGGTGGAACAGATTGTTTAGCATAAGTAGTTAACACATATTCTAAGGGACTATTCAAGGTAAAGTGGCCCATTAACACCCCCGCAGTCATAGGACAAAAAAAAGATGAGGGTTAGTGGGTTACAGATTGTTGTAATAAGCCATAAATGAACTCACATAGAAAAATGATAAAAGACAAAAACACCATATCACCCCTGGGTGAACACTTTTCACAAAGCAATCACTTCATATCTGATCTCTCAGTCCTCATCCTCAAAGGAAACCTGCACATTTTCAGAAGACGAGCCTTGAAACTTAAATCCATAACTTTGTAGGGCACTCAAAATAATGGTTTAAATAAAGACACTAGATTTCTGCAGTGTTGCTGTAGCCATGTAGGTCCCAGGATATTAGAAAGACAAGGTGGGTGAGGTAAAATCTTTATTGGACCCACTTATGTTGGGAAGAGAGACAAGCTTTCGAGCTTTTCAAAGTGCTCTGTAAGCTCAAAAGCTAGTCTCTCTCACCAACAGAAGTTGTTCCAATAAATGATATTACCTCACCCACCTTATCTCTGGTTTTGCATGTCAAAACTTCCTTAAAATGGGACTGAGAGGGTTAAATTTTTAAACTTGAAAGTGAGAAAAATAGTTAATAGTTTATCCATCACAAGGAAGTGAATTGATAGTATTATTTTATAGCGGGGCATGTTTAGTGCATACACAAGATGCCTTCAATCCGCTGGGACAGGAGAGCGTTGATTGTGATTATTTTTGGGATAGTGACTGCAGTGCTTTGGATATTATGCATTTGGCAGCTTGTCCTCAGGTATAAAACAGGTAATAAAAATATCTTTCTGCTTTATCCAGTTTACAAAAGAATATAATTAATACTGACTGAGTTCTTAGTGCCATCAGCTTCTTGAGCAGGAATGTCTCTTCTCATCATTGTTCTCATCATCCTGTGTTGGTCCCAGGATATTAGAGACGCAAGGTGGGTGAGTTAATACTTTTTATTGCTAGGATGACCATATGTACTGTTTTGGACAGGACAGTCCCTTTTTTAAGCCCTGTCCTAGTGGCCCCAACATTTTTGTCAAAAGTGGGCATTTGTCCTGTTTGCTCTTGCCAACTGATCAAATGCCAACTTTTGTCAAAAAAGTGGGGTGCCGTGCAGAGGAATCTGTGGGGTGTGAGCAGCGATGCCAGCCCCATGTAGAGGGGGAGGCAGGGCTCATGGGGTGAGGGGGCAGGCTGGGTTCCAACGACCCCAGCCTCATGGGGGAGGTAGGCAGGGTTCCAGCGACCCCAGCCTCATGGGGATGGGGCCCTTGGGTGAGTGGCTTGGGCCAGCTCCATGCGGGGGGGTGCGGGGGGGTGCGAGAGGTGTTACTTCCGTATTGAAGTAGTTTCTCTTTGGGTATTTGGGTGGCCCGTTCCATGATGCGATCTACTCAGGGGCACTGGAATGGGGGGGCCAAGAGGCCCTACCCCTCCCACTTTTGAAAGCGGACGGGCCTGGCCCGTCCACTTTTCGCCACTGGCTTGGCCCCCTGCCCCTCTTCTTGCCCCCTGGCCAGGCCGGAAACTGGAGCCCACATGGGTAAGAGTGGCCTGGGGAGCCTGGGCAGCTGAGGGGAGCTGTGGACCCTCCACCTGTCCTGGGTGAGGGGCCCAAGAGCAGTCCTGGGCAGATGGAGGGTCCGTGGCTCCCCACAGCTACCTGAATGGCTCTTACCCAGGTCCAGCTGTGGCTCTTCGGCCCCACCCCCAGGCCAGGCTGGCAGCCAGAGATGGGTCTGGGTAAGAGCTGCATGGGCAGCTGTGGGGAGCCACAGACCCTCCACCTGCCCTGGGTGGGGGGGCCTGGGAATCAGGGACATAGTCTGGGGGCTGCTCTTGGGCCCCCCCACCTAGGGTATGTGGAGGGGCCCAGGCTCCCCAGCCCAGCTCCAGCTTCTGACTTGGCCAGGGGGGTGGGACCTGGGGGGAAGAGGATGGGAAGGGGTGGGGCCACTGTGGGTGTGGGGCCTCGTGCCCCTCCACTTTTAGGAAGAATTAGTCGCCCCTGGATCTACTTCTCTGGTGGGGTGTCCTTGTCTGGTGAAGGTGGTTTTAAGTGTGTTAAGGTGTATCTCGGACATTCTCCTCAGAGCGAATTCTATGGAATCTGAGTGCCTGGCTGTAGCGTTTTAAGTGTAGGCATAACTTCTCTCACCAACAGAAGTGGTCCAATAAAATATATTACCTCATCCAACTTGTGTTGTTGTCATGACATTGAAAGAGGTACTTTAAACTTTCTTTTAACTTTATTCATATGCAATGTTCACATACAGAGTATTTTGTTTGCAGTGCATTTACGCTATATTTAATTCCTATAAAATAGCCTTGCAGAATTATTAGGAAAGTTTCCAAGACCTGATTGATATTTAACTTGACTGTATTTCTGTCCTCTAAAAACAAACAAAAACAAACCCCCACCATCAGCACCCCAAAAAAACAACACACATGCCTTGGGCAAGTGGGCAAATAAAGTTTCATAAGGCTGCAGTAACATATAGTATACATAATATATATCACATTTAAATAAAATATATGCTTTGTAATAGCTATTTGTTACACTATTTGATTTTTCTATAAAATCTTCCATGACATTTTTAGATTTTGTTGAATATATAAGAATGAATAGATGTATGTATACACACACACACACGTGGGCACATGTGGCCAAGAAAATCAGGCCCATATGTGTATGTATACTTATGCTTTTTGGTGCAAGCACGTTGTCTTGTACACTGACATTATGCAAAAAATAATGTGTGAGCCCCTGTTCAAAAGTTGATACAAATAGAAAGAATCAGACATTGCTTGGTGCCTTAATAGAAAAGGACAAAAATGTGATCTGCAGATACCAGCCTTCTAGGAAACCTATGAAAATGTTCAATAAGGAAATTTTCATGAGAATTACCCACTGGAGTGTCAATGGGGAGTGGAAATGCCTAAGAACAAGAGTTGGCATGTAATTATATACCGGTTGATTAACCTTTGTCAAGTATTATCAGCCTCTATGAATTTAACTATTCTGTATTTCTTGGATGTCACTCGGGAAGCTGAAAGTACAACATAATAATCGCCTTAATTCATCAGGGTAAGGAACTCTTTTGTGTGCTTGTGGCTTTGTCTTATTTGGAATTCAGCTATTTGTGGCCAGCATCTGGTGTAGCTGCACTAGTGCAAACCCCAAGTGTAGATAAGAAAAGCTGCAATTTGCATTGCTGCACCTAACTCCTGCTGGAAATTGGAGTAACTAATACAAACCATGGCTTCTTTTTCCACTCCCTACACTTAGGGTTTGCACCAGTACAGCAACACTAGCTGCTGGCAACAAAGGGCTGAAATGGAGCAGGGCTAATCTCAAGCATAGACAAGGCTTTAATTCCTATTTGCTATGGGACTTGGGCATGCTACATATAGTTTAGAGCAGTAATTCTCAACCAGGGCTCTGGAGCCCATTGGAGGGCTGCAAGCAGGTTTCAGGGGGCCCGCCAAGCAGGGCTGACATTAGACTTGCTGGGGCCCAGGGCAGAGAGCCAAAGCCCCACCTCCTGGGGCTGAAGCTCAGGGCTCCAAGCACTGCCACCCTGGGCTGAAGCCGAAGCCTGAGCAACTTAGTTTCACGGGGCCTCCTGTGGCGTGGGGCTCCAGGCAATTGCCCTGCTTGCTACCCCCTAATGCCGGCCCTGACTTTTATATGCAGAAAAACAGCTGTGGCACAGATGGACTGTGGAATTTTTATAGCATGTTGGGGGGCCTCAGAAAGAAAAAGGCCGAGAACCCCTGGTTTTTAAAACCTTGTCTGGGAGTTTCAGTATTGCCAACTCTCATGGAAGTTGATGTTTTTCTGAGAACTGCAGCTCATGAAATTGTGATTATATGAGAATCTTAGCTTTCATTAAAAAGAAAAATTAAGATTCTAGGCATCATCAGTTAGGAGAAAAGGTTGAAAATGTGAACCCTAAAGGCTCAAAAGGCAAATCAAAAGAACCCCAAATTATTATTTTTTGAAATGTCATGATTTTTAAGCCAATGTCATGATTTTGGGGGCCTGTTTTATGATTTTTGAACACTTGGGCTTGGCAATACTGGAGTATTTTATGTCTGCAGAGGATACTGGTTCCCTTCCCTCAAATAAAAGAGTTTAAAAAGAGAAATGCATGCAAAATGGTGAATTTGTAGACAGAAAATTCTAATCACATGAACAGAGCAGCGAAGCAGGGTTGAAACTAGACAGCAACAAATACGGTTATAGTCCCCATCTTGGATTTGGCAGAATTTGTGGGATTAAGATTTTGATGCAGAATTAAATGTTTGAAAATTCTAAACTAAGGCAGACACTCTGTGCTAGCTTCTGCTCTTGGCTGCCTGGTTGACGCTGCATGGGAGCTATGTTTGTGCAGAAGCTGAGCTTTTGTCATCATGGCCTTGTGATTTTCTTGTTTTGTTTTAAAATGGTTTGATTTCAGGCTGGAATGTCAGCCTTATCTTTTTTCATTCCTTTTTACAATTTATGACTAACACAGCCTCAAGTAGGCCTGCACTATGCACCCTAGATCTGTGCGCGGATCTACCCTCTGTTCCTGCCCCTTCTATGAATCTATGGAACCTCCCCCTACCACTGCACCTCAGAGAGACCCCTTAACAGGGTTGGGGTTCCATAGGCTGGGATAAACCAGGAATGGCTGAGTGGGGCTGGGATGAACAGGGATCCTTCACCAACACTGAGGGGAATCTGTTCACAACTTCAATACAGCCTGAAGCTGCACTGACTTCTGAGAAGAGCCTGTCTGGGTTCTTTGTCTACTAGAGCGGTGGTTCTCAAACTTTTGTACTGGTGACCCCTTTCACATAGCAAGCCTCTGAATGTGACCCCCCCTTATAAATAAAAACACTTTTTAATATATGTAACACCATTATAAATGCTGGAGGCAAAGCAGTGTTTGGGGTGGAGGCTGACAGCTCGCGACCCCCCATGTAATAACCTCGTGACCCCCTGAGGGGTCCCGACCCCCAGTTTGAGAATCCCTGTACTAGAGCCTTGCTGCTTGGGAGCCAGGGAGAGCAAAAGGAGAAAATGAATGGAAAGGCAGAGGTCCCTGGCCTCCAGCAGGTGCCCTAAAATGTACAGATTCTGAAGGCTAACCCCACTGCTCATTGCATGACATGTTGTGAGGGAATCAAGCTCCTCAGTGCCAATAAAATTATTCAGATCCTGGACAAGTTTTCCTTCCCTTCTGCAGGTTTGTCCATGGGAGAGGCAATCTGGATTTAATGGTTAACATGATGGCTAGTAGACGCACTACACAGATGCATTGAGTTGTACTAAAAAAAAGACAGTGTTCCATATTCCTCATGGACATCTGGGTACGACACATCTGAGGGTTTGTCTACACAAACATTTTGTTCACGGCAAGCTGGGTGTAAATCTACCCCACACTAACCTGCCTCAGAGTAACTGTCCACATGGACAGCTGTATAAAGAAAAAAAGGACAGACATTTATTTTTAAAGAAAGCTTAAAGTTTTTAGAACTTCACAGAATGCAACAAATACTGTGGAGCGTCCTGAAATTTCTGTGATCTGTGATTTTTCTTCCATGCCTGATGTTGTCTCTCTCTCTCTCTTTTTTTTTTTTTTTGGTAGGATTTTAATGAATAATTTGCATTTTCCTTCGGGCACACTGTCTCAGCAAGATTGTAAGAGTAGCAGTAGGCTCTTTGCCTGACTGGTCAGGCACTCGGAGAATATATGTTCATGTTATAAATGGGACATGGTTTTATTAGGTTTTGCTAAAAATGCTAGCATGATCAGAAGTGATACACTTGGCAATTCACAGAACATGTTCTGAAGTGGTGCATTCATTAGCCTGCTGAGTATAATATACTGATTTAGTATGTATATGTGTCCATGTATCTCACTAATGGCTAGCCTCTTATGTCTACAATGTAATTAAAAAAAAGTTTCACCAAGCCTCAGAGCCCAGGTCAATTGACTCAGGCTTGTGGGGCTCGGGGCGGGGGGCTAAAAATAGCAGTGTAACTGTTCTGCTTTGGGCTGGAGCCTGGGTTTTGAGAGTCACCCCCACTCATGGGGTTCAGAGCCCAGGCTCTAGCCCAGGGGCGGGCAAACTTTTTGGCCTGAGGGCCGCATCGGGTTTCGTAAATTGTATGGAGGGCCAGTTAGGGGAGGGGGTCGTGGCCCGGCCCCCACCTCCTATCTGTCCCCCCTGCCCCCAGGACTCCTGCCCCATCCAACCACCCCTTCTCCCTGTCCCCTGACTAACCCCGGAACCCCTGCCCCTGACTGCCCCCAGCTGCCCCATCCAACCCCCCCTCCTTCCTGACTGCCCCCCCGGGACCCCTGCCCCCATTCAACCCCCTGTTCCCGCCGACCACCCCGACCCCTATCCACACCCCCGCCCCCTGACCACCACCCCAAACTCTCCTGCCTTCTATCCAACCCCCCCGCTCCCTACCCCCTTACCGCGCTGCCTGAAGCACCGGTGGCTGGCGGCGCTACAGCCATGCCGCCCAGCTGGAGCCAGGACACGCTGCCGCCGCCGCACAGCACAGAGCACCGGGTCAGGCCAGGCTCTGCAGCTGCGCTGCCCCAGGAGCTCACAGCCCCAGAGCATTGCGCCGGCGGAGCGAGCGAGCTGAGGCTGCGGGGGGACAGCAGGGGAGGGGCCGGGGGCTAGCCTCCTGGACCAGGAGCTCGGGGGCCGGGCAGGATGGTCCCACGGGCAGAATGTGGCCCGCGGGCCGTAGTTTGCCCACCTCTGCTCTAGCCCAAGCCTGAATGTCTACACTGCCATTTTTAGCCCTGCAGTCCAAGCTCCACAAGCTGGAGTCAGGTTACCCAGGCCAGCCGCGGCCATGCTGCAGTTCTTTTATTGCAATGTAGATGTATCAAGGGGTATATCTACATTTCAATTGGGAAGTGTGATTTGCACCATGTGTCAACATACCTGTGCTAGCTTGGCTTGAGCTAGTACCCAAGAATGCAGTGTCTCCGCAGCAGTGTAGGCGGCAGCTACCCATGCAGGAACGCAGGAGGTTGGGCGGAATTATACTTGGGGTGGCTAGCCTAAGCAGCCACCTGGGCTGCCGTGGGCACACTGCTATTTTGAGGCACTACCTTCAGCAGAGCTAGTGCAGGTACATCTTCACAAGTTGGGACGCACACCTCCCAGCTGAATGTTGACACATCCTAAGACTGCAACAGCTTGCTACTTACTCAGTCCCGAAGGAATTACTCCTCTAGCTTAATGGTAGGCGTTGGTGGTGCTACGGTTCCTCAGTTTGATTCTAACTGATGCTCAAGGTAGCTTTACACATGTGGCCACTGTGTGTTTGTTACATGAGCATGCATCAAAGTGATTTTTCAATTGCTTTATCATGTTTATTATTGAGCAAAGCCTATTCCTCAGTGAGGGCTCTGTTCATGCCAGGTGCTGTGCTCTCCATTTTTCTTGTGGCACTGTTCAAAATGTGTGTCTAGAATTGTTTTCGTTGGAAAAAATTGGATTGTTCTTTTCCCAGTCTCTCATGACTCAAAGATAAATGCAGGGATTGTACTCAAATGCCTGAATAAAAAAAAAATCTCTTTAGCCAGAGACTAGGTGTAGGAATTTATAGCTCCAAAACTGAATGTGAGAATAAAGGGTATTCATGGAAAGTTTTACAGCCTCCTTTATAGTAGGTACTACCAGGTGTCTGTGATAAAACAAACCAGCTGATTCCCTATCTGTGCCCTATACTTCCCTGTCGTATACTCTGATGGACCTGATTACATTGTCCTGGAAAATACAAGTTAAAGAACAGGTGCAGGCAGCTAATTCTTGTTATATGACTTTGATGGTAGAGCTCCCCGAGCTGCTCCTTCGGATTGCTCTTCTAGTTGCAGGTTAAAAGAAGACAGTGGGTTTAGTTCTGCTGTCAGTTACACCACTGTAAATCTAGAGTGACGCCACTGAAGTTAGGGGAGTTAACTTGAGATCTAGGAACCAATCTAAAGCCTTTCAATTGATTTGAATGGGAGAGGGATCGGGTCTTTAGAGTGGTGCAATGGAGAGCAGATTTTGGCTCAGTGGGTTTAACCATTAGAAGAGACTGGAACTGAGCAAATATTCTATACAAGCTGACTTATAAAAATCTTTCAGCCAAATTCTGCTTTCAGTTATACTGGTGTAAACCAGGAGTATTTCCATTGCCTTAATTGGAATTACTCCAGATTTAAAGCAGAGTTTGTCCCTGTATTGTTTAAATGTCATAATAATACCTAATTCTTCCATAACATTTTTTATCTATAGATCTGAAAGTGCTTTACAAAGGAGGTCAGTAGCGTTATCCCCATTTTACAGAGGGGGAAACTGAGGCATGGGGCGGTAAATGAATTTTCCAGCATCACTCAGCAGGCCAGTGGCAGGGCCAGGAATAGAACGCCTAAGGCCCTGCAGCCAAGAGCTAGATATTTGTACTTCTCAATACACTGGGACATTTGCTAGTCCTTCCTGCAATCGTTTTGCAAGTGGAATTCCTGTGGCTTTGAGGAAGTGCTTATTGCCACCAAATTCCACTGTGCTTTATTAAATGGAACAAATTTTTATTTTGAGTTTACAGTGTATAATGACATTGTAACCAATATGTGGAAGAGTTTTTTCATATTCTTAGATGTACATGCTTTTCCAGAGTGCAGCTTATGTGAGTCTTGGGTCCTCGTTGCAGATCCCAGAGGTTTCATATCCAGTTTCACATTAGATTTTTGTACGTGTAATAGTGCTAATCCTGGAAGGATACAGTAGTGTAGACACAACAACATAGTGGCGATACAACATATAAAGGATTAACATGTGGCCACTTTCTTCTAATAAAATAACCTGTTCTGGTGAAGATATCTGGTTTAAATGCCGGGAATAAGGACAAGTGCTGGAACTGGGACAGGTGTCTCCCAAAACAGGCACACCCACAATGCAAAATCAGCACAACTGTGTAGTTCTATTTGGGTTGGCCACAGCCTCGATGATGCTGGGTTTGCAGGCATACGTGCGTTTTATAAATTACACTCTGCACCCCCAGCTCAACCTAGAACTCTTCTTAGTGATTCTGGTCTGTGCGATTGTCCCCTTGTCTGTAGTATTTCTAGGGCCCTTTACCACCATAGAATCAATGGCTCTCATCTTGCACGGAGCTCCATGTGGAATCTCATTGAAATCATCCAGGTTCTACACAGGTGCAGGAGCTCACCCATGCGGCGCTCCTTGAAGGATTGGGGCCTAAGCGGGTATGCATACACTGCAGCTGGGAGGGGTGATTTCCAGCCCGGTAGACAGACTTGCACTAGCTCAGCTCAAGCTAGCATGCTAAAAATAAGTGTGGAGGTTGCAGCATAGGTGGTGGCTCGAGCTACACACCTGAGTCCAAGTCCACCTGACTCCCTGGGTCTGAGCGTGGGTGGCTAGGTCGAGCCTCCGCCAGTGTTATTGCAACAGCCACACTGCTATTTTTAGCATGCCAGCTCAGGTGGAGCTAGCGCACATCTGTCTAGCCGTGCTGGGAATCACACCTCCCAGCTGCAGTGTAGGTGTATCCTAAACGCCTAAGCCATAGACTCTCAGCTTCTCCTGTTGTGGAGGCTCTACAGAACAACCTTTCCCTAAGTTTTTTAGGGAGCCCAAAAGCAGAGATGGGAATCTTCTGCACCATACTCCTGCTGCTGATGGCAATATTTTGGCAGGTTGGGGATGGAAATGGGACATCTGTGTCGTATCTGCTGGAATGTGACTCATAGAATATAATGAAAGCATTGTGATGGCTCTTTCATTTGTCAACATTTTTCTTTTTTAAACAGAAACCTCATCCTCATCCTCTCTGCTCTGTGAAAACAAGGGAGAGTATAAAAATGGACGCTGCTTTTGCACAGAGGAATGGGTAGGACCACATTGTGAGACAGGTGAGTATGAACAATGTTATTTTTATGAATCAGTCAGAGAAGCTGGGGGTGCTCTGCCTGTTACAGGATCAGATTCTTGGGCAATAATGTTATTCATGTAATCACACAGCCCCCTTTATTGCACTCCAGTTCTCTGGCTCCCAATCAGCACATAGGTCCAGTACAGTGAGGAGTTATTAAAAAAAACAAAAACAAAAAACAAAAAAAAAACCCACCACCTCTGTTCACTATACAAAATTTTCTTCCGAACCCCAAAGAGCCAGCCACATTACCCCAGGTCAATATTAATTTGGATCTTACCCCAACTATCATGCTGCCAGGCAATTGTTTAGAATCTAAAACTAAAGGTTTATTAGAAAAGAAACAATAAAAGAACACGAAGAGAAAAATGAACAAGAAGAGAGGTGTTAAATGGTAAAAGCGGTCATATACTTAAATAAGACTTCAGAGTCCATATATCAGGTTCTTAGCAGTATTGGCAGTGATGAGCTGCCAAAATCTGAACAACCGGTTCCCTCCTCACCCCACAAGGGGGTCGTGGCCCGCCCCTGCCCCCCGGGACTCCTGCCCCATCCAACCCCCCGTGTTCCTTGACGCCCCCCCCAGGATCCCTGCCCCATCCACCCCCCTTCCCTGTCCCCTGACTGCCCCCCGCCGCCCCATCCAACCCCGCCTCTCATTCCTGATGGCCCCCCAGGACCTCTGCCCCATCCAACCACCCCTTCTCCCTGTCCCCTGACCGCCCCTGGAACCCCTGCCCCTGACTGCCTGCCACCGCCCCATCCAACCCCCCCTCCTTCCTGACTGCTCCCCCGAGACCCTTGCCCCCATTCAACCTCCCTGTTCCCCGCCCTCTGACCGCCCCGACCCCTATCCACCCCCGACCACCCCCCTGAACTCTCTGCCCTCTATCCAACCCCCCCGCTCTCTGCCTCCTTACCGCGCTGCCTGGAGGTGGCTGGCGGCGCTACAGCCGTGCCACGCCGCCGCAGCGCAGCGCCTGGAGCACCAGGTCAGGCCGAGCTTGCAGCCCCCCCACTTCCTGCGAATTAGCTGTTTGCGCGGGAAGCCTGGGAGGGCTGAGAAGCAAGCAGCGGCTTTGCGTTCAGGCCCAGGGAGGCGGAGGCGAGCTAGGGCGGGGAGTGGTTCCCCTGCGCGCCCCCCAGGTTACCTGCTGCAGCGCGGGCGCCCCCCCCCCCCCCCCCCAGCTCCCCCCCGCTCCGCCTCCGCCTCCCTGGGCCTGAGCACGAAGCCGCCGCACCGCTTCTCCGCCCTCCCAGGCTTCCCGC